GGGTACAATGCTGTTATAATAATGTTATTGTGAGACGCATCGTTTAAGTTGAGGAAGCAGTTACAAAGGCACACAATGTCCTATACAGTACACGGACGAGACATTGACACAACAATAGGTAGGCCTACTTTAAAGAGTACACAAAACGTGCCATTGAAAGAATATATGCCCTAAGGGCACAGACGTGACATAGACACAATAAGTGTTCTACAGAACACACACGTGACATCAGCACAATAATAGGTAGGCTCACTTTTTTTTTTTTACAGTAGAGGGTTTTACGGCGCTCGCATAAGGTCATATGAGCGCCAAGCCTCACTTTCCAGAACACAAACGTGACATAGATATAATAAGTGCCATAGAGTACACTGACTTGGCTTTGACACAACAAGTACCCTGCGGTGCACTGACGTGACATTGACACAATAAGTACCCTACCGTGCACAGACGTGGCATTGACACTCTACGTCCCATACCCTGCACAAAGGTGATAGTGACACCATGTTATGTATCATGCATTGCCTATACGGTCAACCTATGCGCTATTTGTACCTGAACTGAATGTTTCTCTGTTACTTCACTGGTAGTGGTAGAACATCCTGGAATAGATACTTATAGTAGCCCCCCCCCCTTTTTTTCATTGTTTCTCCGTGACCAGAACTTAAAAGATTTTGTTTTCAGCATTTTGACCGGGTAGGATTATTTAAAAGGCAATGCGATTTGTTTTGTTTTGTTTTGTTTGTTTGCTTGTTGATGTTATTGTCATGGGCGAAAATCTTACATGACTTGTGTAATTTTTTTGGGGAATGTTTTTGCTTGTTAATGTTATTGTAATGTGCAAAGTACAAGGGTCCTACATTACTATTATTTTGTGCAATATTCATCCTCCTTATAGTTCATAATCCATACATATTAATTAGGCTTATTGTAAACTGTGCCGCTGAAGTCCCAAACCCCGGAATTCAGTAGGATATGATATGTAATGACTGTAGGTTCCGATTTTTACTGGTTACATTGAAACCGTTTTGGGGAGAAAAGGGGGAATGGAGAAGGGGGGAGGGGACTCTTTTGTTTTCACTTTCTTTTAGACATTTGGGTTTTCCCCTTGATCATTGAGAGACAATGTGAGAGAGAGAGAGAGAGAGAGAGAGAGAGAGAGAGAGAGAGAGAGAGAGAGAGAGAGAGAGAGAGAGAGAGAGAGAGAGAGAGAGAGAGAGAGAGAGGGGGGGGGGGGGCACTGGCAGGAGATGGGTTTCTGCAACTTTGCGATACTCACCAGTGCTCATAAAGATACAGATATGAAAATGTTAGAAGTCTGGTATTTCATTATATTATTACGTGGGTTTAAAAAAAAAAGTCAACTCTTATTATGCCAGATCCAGATGGTTTTCCTCGTTTATGCTAGCCCAGTATGTTGAAAGGAAAGCGTAACAAGTTGGAGGTGATGTTGGAAGGCTCAAGTAGTCTGTTGGGATTTTCTTTTTGCTTTGTTTTGTTTCTTTTTTCTACAGTTCTTTGTTTTGTTTTAGTACGCATTTTAGGGCCTTTACAACACAAGAGGTCATATAAGTGCCCAAGATTAGAGGTGTTACAAAAGATTAACAAAACAAAAACAAAACAAAAAAAGAAGTAGAGGTAAGCTCGATAGATGTTTGATAGGAAAGGAGGAGCAAACCACACCAGAGCACCTGTCAAACACTCAGATCGACAGTATGAGCCGACCAACATATTATAATATATTATGATTGTAGTGACAAGTCATGTGTGCGTGCGTGATAATGGCGTGGACACAGATGTTCTTTCGCATAGTTTCCTGACATTATCTTTAAATTGTCTTATTACAAGCAGTCCTCATACTGATGATTTAGGATATCTGTTTAGTAATTTTGGACAACATACTAGGTCACTTCCCACAACATTTTTCTAGCTCATCATCACCGTAAGCCATTAACTTGTCAGCGCGGCAGTTGTCAAAGCTGTTCAACATTGATTTTTTAAGATTGTAATTATGCGGCCTGTTGGTTGTATCTTTGTTTTCCTTCCTTGTTCTTTAGGTGCATGATCCCTTACCCTAGGCTTAGTATATTATGACTAGCGTTGAATATCCTTGTACACACTGTGTGGGTGTTAACTTACAGATGAGGAAGGGGTATATTGAGAC